ATGAGCACTTGATTATAGCAAACAGGTACACAATATGTGTGCGTATACATATCTAACTGTGTAAGAGGAAGTTGTTATGATTGGCATATTCTTCATTTGCTTATGTGGCGTCCTTAATATTCTACTAGAATGACTTGCATCTGATTCTGCATCTAGAATATACATTTAAAATGCCTTAAACAACTTCTGTGACAATCCATGGCTATTCCTGAGCTATGCCCTGCACAGAACACAGTCTGTTCACATGGGCAGGCGGGGGGTGACTGCCAAGAACAAACACAAACAATTAAAATTGGAGTTCTCAGAAGCAGCTGGGTTAAACACAGTCTGTGCAGTAGCTGAATACAAAGTGAACATAGGAGTTGTAATCTGGCTCATCATACTTTTAAAATGGGGAAGAAAATATTCTGCTTTTGTTTCTTTTGTTTGTTTTTCTTACCCGATCGACCATTTTGGCTTCTAACAACCAATTTATTGTATATTATCGGTATCTGGACCCATAATCCTGGGTGTGTCTTTAGTAAGTGCCAGAAGTTCAGACTGAAGGCTAAACTCACTGCCAAGATGATCTACTTTATGGATCTGAAACCTATTCTGTTTCCCTGCTTTTTGGAGCTCTCTCTTCCAGTCAATCAAGCATCCATTGAGTTTGGCTTGTTTACTCTTTCTTCGCCTTGCTTAGCACATTCAAGCTGTGTCCAAATGTAGTTTGTGTTTCCAAATTTCACTTTTTTTCCTACTGGTTTGACTGCATCAGTTCACAGCTCAGTTTCTGAAATCTGCTCTTATTTTAATTCCATGGCAAGCAAATACACTCATCTTCCTCCTTTTCCCCTAAGAAGTTATGAAGTGTAATTGCTATTTAATTTACATTCCCATCACTTTACAATTGTAAATACCATATTTCAAATTGGGCCACTAGCTTCCTGTTTTTTTGCAGTGGTCTTATTGCAGTGTAGTGCAATGTACACTACAGCTTGGTTGTCCCTTATCTATGATGTGCTTTGATTTAGTTTACCCATTTAACAGTTCATATTTGAATTTCCTTCTGTACGCTTTTTAGTTTTTGGGTTTGTTTTGCTCTTTGTGTTCAGATTGCCAACACTGAAACTAACAGTATTTAAATCATCTTTTTCAAATGTATCTTCAAAACCGGGCTGGACCTGCTGATAGGAACAGAAGAAATATATGGAGCATTATTGAAATTCTTTGACAAATACCTTCATTAATGAGCAACATCCTACTTATAAATAATAACAATAATAGTTATAATTCAGCTATCTTTTCGTTTTCCATTAATCTGATTATCAATAAGCTTATTAGTTGCTGCATGTCCTTTGTTAGGAGTACAGTGGTAAAACTATGGACAAGTTTCAGAAACCTCAAAGACAAGAATTTTGAAACTAGGTAGAACGCTCTACAATATCAGTAGTATAAATATTTTCATTAGTAGTTTGGATGGTGAACTAAAACTAATTTTGTTTAATCTGTGGACATTGAGTATTGAGGACTGCAGAACCTACAGTGTGATCATCATGAATTTTGAAATAATGAAAAGTTAATATCCTGAAGCTAAATAAATGCAAGATTGAAGTAGTGACTTTAACAACACTGAAATGTGTGCAAATGCTTGAACTTATTTGAAAGTAAAAGTAGATAAAAGCACATTAGGAAAACAGGTGCTTTTTTTCTAGCTATCCTTTTTACTTCCTTTAGACTTGTGGGGGAGAGATTTCCTGTTGTCATTAATTTCTCTGGCCAGTTGTTATTATAATATCCAGATTTCTCGCTTAAAATGGCCTCTGTGATTTTAAAGAATCAATATGTTCTATCCATCTTAAAATAGTAATACTGACTTCTAGTGTAGTTCATCTGTGGTATAAAAATATTAATTCTTATGTAGAAAGGACAGGGGAGGGGAAGACAACCCATTCCCAGCCTCTAAAGATAGCTTGGGTTCAAGCTATATATTTAGACTATTGTGACAAGCAGGTGCACTCTGAGTCATGAGCTGTTTTCATGGGGAAACGTGGACTGCCAGTCAGAAGAGACTTGCTTTCCTTTTAACGAAGTTAGGCCATGCACAAGAGGATAAGGCATGCGCTCAGAGTCAGTGCTGTAACTCATGTTGTCCCCTAAAATATGCCAGTACCTCTTGTAAGGATTATGTCTTGCTCGGATTGTATCACTTAAACAGTGTTAAAAAATAAACTTGAATGACTGGTTTATGTAGATAAGAGTTATATTCTCAGGATATCTGGAGAAGTGTTGCTGAGATAAACTGATACCGTCTATTAATGAATCTCCATCAAGATAATACAGTTCTTCGGCCGAGTCAGTTTGTACTTTGCCTCTCTGTGTGTGAGGCTGAGGCTGTGTTCCAGCAAACGCGCTACTCAGCAGAATGAAGCTCTGGGCCTCACTGTATCTTCAGCCTGTTGTTTGTCCCCTGCTTTTACTTGTACAACCACAGAACGTGAGGAGAGTATTGCAGGGAAACGTGGGTTACTGTTCATTGCTTTGAAATTGAAAAGCATGTTTTGGCAACTCACTTTTTCCCTGCTGATTTGAGAGACTTGGTTATGTGCCAGCCACAGTGTTAGCTGCTCAGCAGTTGAGAGTCTGGGAGAGTACTGGAGTTCACTTTAGGCTTAAGACTGATGTACTCTCTTAGTTAAGCTGCTTGAGTTTTTCAAGATCATGCAGCCCGAAAGGGACCTCAGGTCCCTTTTTTATACACAAGTGGTTTTTTTATAAATAGATGAGAGATGCAGCAATAAGCATCACCACCATTTCGTGAAGATATTTTTGTGGTTTTGTTAAGTTTTCTGGTAGAGTTTTCTCAAATTATTTTTTTAAATCCTGGAACTGTTTGAAGAATGGAAATATCAAAGGAAGGTAGAGGTCTTTGTCTATTCAAACTTCAATGATTCCCCAGTGTTTGCAAACATACTTTATCACAGCTACTCATAAAATACAAATAGCTGTTTTTCTAAATGGCTGAGAGAGTTTTGAGAACAAACCTTCCGGCTATTGCATGGCTGTTTCTGCCTGGAATGTATTCTCATTATTTGGTGAACTGTATAAGTACAGATTGGTTAATCTTGAATTCTGGTAGTACATATTTACTGCAGATATTTGACAAGTGTAAAAGAGAGTTTCTAAATTTTCTCAAATATGTGTTGTTTTTCCTTTGCAGAGTTTTCTTTTTATGTTTAAAGTCTTACTTATCTGTTTATGCCTCTGTTTTTTGAGGATTTTTATATATTTAAATTTATTCTGAAGAGGACCTTTGAGCTAGTATAACAGCAGAACTATGGTGGGGTGGGAAGAGGTGCACACACATAAAAGCACTCATGGGTATAGAATGAATATGCAAAATAATGTTTTTGAGAAGATGCTTTACCTTTCTTACTAAATAAGTGTCCTCAAATATTCTACATATCTATTCTGGCTTGTCATATCCGCACAATCTGCACAGTAAGCATTAGGTGTAGTGTTAGAAGGTAAATCTGTTATGTGGACCTTACAGCTACCTGAATTACCTTTTACATTTTTTTAAAAAAAAAGAAAAGGAAATAAAGTTAAAGTTAAAAAGGTCTAAACACTCAAACAAGGCTGCACAGTAACTTCAGTGATGGAATAAGAATAACAAGATTTTGCAAACAAAGAGGTAACACCCAAAAAGCATTGCATGATGATGTTTGATTACAAGTAAAGGATTTTTTTGACACAAGTAAGTAAACGTGCTGCCAAATATTACTAAACAATTTACAGGAGCAATTTACTCTTGTAGTCCTGACTAAATATTGAGGTATTGATTAATATTTTTCTTTAGATGCTTCTTATTGCTTATGCAATAAGAATATGATTTCATTTAAAAGAATGTGTAAAACTGTGGAACTATAGTGGTCACAAGAAAAAAACGTGGCTACAAAAGAACAGTATATTCAAGGAGACAGCTCATGATAACTGGTTTGGATCTTCAAAGATTGCTACCACTGTACAAGTCAAGTATATATAAGTAAAGAAAAAAGCTATATGTTGCACCATACTCTTTCTTTATATGAAATATTTTTTAATACTCTTAAGCAACTTGTGCCTAAGAATACTTAGAAATGATTAATTTATATTTATTCAAGATTTGTGGAGTGTTTCAGGACTTCTCAATTGCAGAAAGCAGGCTTTTTGCACTAGAGCAGAAAGCAAGCACATTGAAAAAAAACTTGCTTGGTCGTGTCTTTCTGGACCTTTAGAGGAGTCAATCCAGGAAGGAGCAGGAGCTGAATGACTGAATGCTCCATTTCTTTTCTGTTACCTGCTTCTCAGTCGTTAAAAACACTAGGGGTTGTGGCCATCTAGTGGTAAATCCTTTGTAAGTGCAGGATTTTAGTGAGAAGTCTAGTTTACCAAAGCCGTATCTTGAGTGAGATTAGCCATATCTTGAATGAGATTAGTCTACGGGGGTTTTGAGACCTGGTGGAGTTCTAAAATCTAGCTCACTGTCAAAGGAAAAAATGAAAATTTGTTTTAATTGGAGAAATAATTCGGTGAGCATATTAATAGCAAAAGTAAGCATACATATTTTTTGTTTTCACACTGGATAATGGCAAAAATCTGAAAATGTGTTTTCAATTTTATTGTTGGGTCTTTGTTTCGTTTTTCTTAGTTGGGAAATGGATTTGTTATGGTAATGGTTTTGGTTCACCAGTGTCATTTTTTTCATATCTCACCATTCCAACTAGCAATTTCATGAATCTTGATGTTGACATAAACTCCTGCTTTTTTTAAATACATATATATATATATATATATATATATGTAATTGATGTATCTGTTTCTTATACTTCTAGATTTGACCAAGATCACAGATAAGCATAATACAACAGAAAGTATTTAAACTCACTATATCAGCATGCCACCATCCATCCATTAACATTGAACAATGAATATTAGGATGGTCCTGGGTTAATATGTATAATGGTTTGTTTCATTTTCAGGTATTTGGAGTGGATGACAGCCAGGATTATAATAGGCCTGTTATCAACGAGAACCAGAAAGATTTAGTAAAAGATTGGGCTATAAATTCTGCTACAGTAGTGGTGGAAGAAAAAAGACCACTGAGTACAACTGGATTTCTTGACGCAGAGGTAGAATTTAATTTTTGATGGTCTTCTTTTTTCTTCCAATAAAAGAGAGCACTAATAATTGATCAGTAAGTGTTAAACAGCAAAAAAACTTTTTACTAGCAAGTACTAGTTCAGTTCTATAAGTATTTGATTTTTCTTATTCCCTTATTGCATTATCAAAATTTCTCTATCAGACAAGTTAAACTATGAAGGCATTTTAAACTTTGCTACATTTCTATATCCACTAAGATCAGTGTGTTGAAAATGTAGCAGAAATTTCCTTATCATATTACATTTGCAACACTTTTGCTCAGTATACACTTCTCAAGTTATGCAGCAGAACTGAGAAAAAGCTGATTATGCTTTATAGCCCAAAGGAGGTAACTAAGTTCAGAAATAAATTATATGTATTTAATGTGCGATACAAAGCCAGCTAGGAAAAGTGTGATGGATAATATATTTCAGATGTCTTTTACAAATGCAGGTGTTCAGGTGTTCATGTTCAGGATGTGAACCTCTCACAAGGGAGAATGTCTCAGGCAGAGCCACTTACGTTAGTTGCCTTGAAGGCAAGCAAGAGGCATTTAATCAGAGAGTGAAAGATTAGGCAAACACATGTTCTTTGTACATGGGTTGCAGGGTATGTGAATGAGACAGATGTTAATCATACTTCCTACTAAAGTCTTGGAAGACATTCTGATATCATTTCAATTGATAAAGTAAACTTGAAATGAGAGGGATAGAACAGGCTCAGGCTGGAGCAGAAATAATCCGATGCCAGTAACAAAGAACACTGCATGTACTTAGAGCTGCCATGGTAAGCTGTTGGGGAATACCATCCTGCAAATAAGCTAGTATGCACTTGATAACTTCTGGAATATATCGAGAGCTTAAAGTGTGACTTTGTGTGCTTGTCATGCAAAAACTTTGTCTTTAAGTTCCAGGAATCTATCTTACATAGAAAAAAGAACACTGTTTTGTCATGATTTTATTTTAGCTATTATGCAGTTCTGTTTTCATTAAATGTCACTATATATCACTTATATACGTATATGTCATCCAGATTAGCATCTTTGAAGTGCCTCTCTAGGCTATTACTTTGGATAAATTATGCCATATAACATGGTCATATTGTGTGGTAGAATTTGACAAAGTGCCTTTCATGTTACCTTTTTATTTGAATCTGTAACCACAATTCTACTCTCTCTTTTTTCATGCCTTTTGTACTACTCAGCTCCTTTGTGCTATACCAGTTTTCAAAATTATCAAGAATATCTACATTTTCCATTTCTCTAATTCCACAAATAGCAGAAGATTCATGTATGATTTCTTTTATGAAGTTTTTATGAGCATAGTTTATTTTGTGAATTTTGATCTTTCCAGGTGTCATGCTTTGCAGATGAAAGGGTTTGACTTCTATTTATGGTCATAAGACAGACTTAAGTATGGCAATAACATGCTAAAACTGTCTGAGAATTTGAGACAAGTTAGGAGAATGGTGCCTTTTTATTACTGTGGATATTTTTCGAAGTACATAGGCCTTCAAGTATGGGGAAGGGAATGAGTAATTTGGCATGATCTTAATTTGCAAAATTAGAATCTTAATTCTGTGCTTGCAAAATCCTTGGTGCTATTGACTACAATGATTCTTTTTGAAAATGCCTGCTACACATCTCTACTATAGAAAATAAATAAAGTTACATTGCTGTGATATTCTGTGTACTGAATATTTTTTTTCTACATGCATACTTGTTGCACTGCTTTAAGAACTGGAGAATTTCCATGCGTATTAGGGGCTTTATTTTCTTTTGTGTATCCACCCTCATTACATTAGTTTCCTGTCCTTTAGAATGAGCCGTTCAGACAGAAGTTTGAAAGTTGCTTTTTGGGGGCTTAGATGTTGTACTTAACATAAAATGACTGTGTCACTAATGTCATATGGCTGTGGAAAGGCAAATGTGACCTTTGGATGCATTTGGAGAAGTATCTTCAGTAAGAGCAGGAAGAGTCATTGCCATTATAGAAGCTGTGGGTAAAATATCCTTGGAAATACTGGCACTGGATTTCTGATCATTCTTATTCAATTAGGGTGAACTCAAAACTAAAAAGGTACAGATTAATAAGGGAGTGAAGGCTTACCTTACAAGAACCAATTCATATAATTTGTTTCATTTAGCAAAAATAGTAGATGAGACAGGTATGGCTGTTGGTTTTCGCTTAGTGGAGTAAATGCAACAAAATGAAAAAGAACTGCCTAAAATAGATGTCAGTGTTGTTCCCTTAGCAAATGTGAAAACACTGTCTATAAGTGAGCATGGAAATTAGAAAAGCAATCATCACCCCTGGAGGAATGTGTTTCAGAAACAATGAGAGGAGGAAAACCTAAAGGAATTGCTTTCAATGTGGCACTTGAAAAATTTTAAAGAGGATGGGTACAAAAATTCTTGTGACACAAGATTCCTGGAGTATGTATCTGAAAAGACTGTTCTCCTGTGGTCTTGTGCTCACTGAAATGTATTTTTAAAAGATTGTTCTTGTCCTTCTGAAGTGCCACATATTGGAGTAGTTTCCAGATGTCTTGTGCATGTGCTGTTGTTTTTCGTAGAAGCAGAGCCCGAAGCTATAATTTTTCAGACTGAGTAATATATCCACCGAAATTTGTTGGTAGTTTTTGAGAGTGCTCCGGTTTAGTTAGAATATGTGATAAGAATGAGGGAAAGTAGACTAAACATGAAGTTAAAAGGCTGGTACCCCTTATGTGAGCATAGCCTTTCTGAAAGACTACAAAATTTCTCTTGGTATTCAGGAAGATATTTGGAGGGTCTTAGACACTCTCTGGTTATTTGAGAGCCTGTAAGAACAGAGTTGGTATGGATTTATGGTAGGGAGATAACTAGAATAATTGAATCCAACTTTTTTTTTTAATATGTGTGTCTTGAATCTCACTGTCAGATGTGTTTCATTTTATTATCGTATTGTTATACTAGACTTAAAATGTATTGTAAAATTTACTAGAATATATAATCTAGTAAGCTATTAAGCTTTTGTTTTTAAATGCCTGTCAAAAAAACCTGCTTTTCAGAGGTTTGGTAGTTATGCAGAGAATTGGCAAAACATATTCACATCCACTGCTATGTAGAAAACACTTTTTTTTCTGAGCGTAATTACTTTAAGAAAAAAAATAATTTATCATATTCCTTCACTACAGTTGTTTTCCTGGAATTAGTTAGTATACATGGAATTATTTGGAGGCCCCTCTAGTAAACATATTTGGGAGCTCTACCATATTTGACTTGAATTGTAATTAATTGCTTTGAGAAGAATGATAGTTTGCTAATTAGGGACAAGGAGGAATGAAGTAAACAGTTCAGAGAAATGAAATAAAACATGAGGCTTCAGCAGTAGAAACACTTGGATGGTCCTGCTTTTTGTTTAAAGCCATTCTTTGCTTCTGCTTCTCATTTAGGCCAAAGAACTGGTCTTGTCTACAGTGAGAAAGGAGTTCAAGCCTTTTCTTTAGAAGAACTGACTTTTAGTTGTTGCGATACATTAAAATGTATGTGTTAAATATTATTATTCTGAAGAGAATAGTTTTGTAACTTAATAGTTGGATGCCCTCTTTACTCTAACTGAGATATTCATTCAAATACCTTGTTCTTCAGGCAGTTTTGTATAGGTAAACTGCAAATATTTGACTAGTTTCTAGGGCAAGTTTTAACAAGCTATTTCATTTCCGATTTTTAAACTAGCCTTTCTGTAAGAAAGAAAATATAGTTTACTTAGCAAAATTGTCTTTAAAACTGGCAAAATGTCACTTTCTTTTCTTTCTAAAGTACATTTTTTCATTTTTGAAAACCCTCTTCTCTTCTTTCCCCTTTTTTCTCCCCTTTTCTTTCAACAGCTTTTCTGAGATGAGGACTGAAATAATTTGCTTTTAACTTGTTCTAATATATTTTTACATAATTTTTGCCATGGGGGATGCTACTTATTCTCTAAGTAATGCTGCTTATTCTGTACTTACTCTGCAGCTATAAAATGGTCTACGTTCTTTGTTCAACATATACTCCATTCAGGAAAATAGAAAACCTGGGATGAGGAGGTGCTTTCTATCAAAAGCATCAGTTATTAGTTGCATTTTTCAGCAATTCAATTGTAACTTTTCTTCTGCCTTTTTTTTTTTTCCTCCTCCCTTCTTCCTTTAGGAAGGCTCTGTTGCCCCTGGAAGTAAACGCTGGGTATCACAGTGGGCCAGTTTGGCTGCTAATCACACACGACATGACCAAGATGACATCAGATTGGAAGCATCTGGACCAGCTCCTTTGGAAAATGGTACTAAAAGCAGTTTTTGTGTCATGATTTCTGCAGAAGAAACTATGAAAGGGGAAAAGGACTGGGTTATAAGCATAGACAGACAGCTTTTCTTCTGTTAATTCTTCACCTTTCTTTCATGTCCCTTAGAAGAAATGATGCTCTACAATAATGATGTTTTACATGGCTGAAAAGTGATAATATTAAACTGAACATTGTAAGAAAGTATATTACACATGAAGCTGTGTAATATAAAAGAAACTTACATTTTAATGCAGTTGACTGCATTAAGTGGAGTGTCTCAGACTGATGTTTCATTTTTTTTTTTTATTAGTATGATTCTTTGCTTACATTTTGCTCAGGACTCGATGCCATTTCCCAAATTGGATTTTAACAGATTGACTGTCAAAACAGTCCAACCTGAGACAAAATTCAGCTAAAGCAAATTTTCCTAAGCTTTGAAATATAGGAAGCTTCTTTTCAATAATCAAGTGTCTTTAACTTATCTTGCCAGCGTCAGGCTGTCTCTGTTCCTTAAAGAAGAAAAAGTCTGAAATGAACAGCAGGTTTTTTTGTTGTTGTTTGTTTGTTTGTTTGTTTTAGATCTGTGTTCTTGAAAATGAAGGAGTTGCTTACCTTTATTTTTCCTCTTTACTTTTCTCTTTCTTACTCTCAGCTTAGAGATAGTGATTTAACACAGCACTCTAGTGTAATTTTAATGCTCATCATTGCACATTAAGGTAGAAATGTTTAAAACCTTCAAGATATTTCCCTTATTTTCTACTGCAAATTATACAAATCAATGTAGGTTTTGTTGCAGAGTTTTCTGGTAATTGCAAATGGATGACATCTCAATGGCTGCTCCAGGTTCCCAGAGTAATATGCTACTTAGAGACCAGCGAGTAGTTAGTTATCATTCTACTAGTTTAGATATGTTTCTGTCCTGCAATTCCAGCATTTCACCTTATTCCAGTTGACTTTGAAATTCTAAGCATCACCACAAAGTTTAAATGGTCTGTAATCTGAAAAAAAAAAAAGAAGTAAAAATGCTTTCTGCGTACATCACTTTTGAGGACCTACTACCATCTACAGAACATGTCCAATAACCTCCTGTTAGACACTGGTGAGTATAACCCTTTTTTTTTTTCCTTTAGCCTATAGCAACTTCTTAGGTAATACTTTTTCACGGGAGTGTAATGTTCTCTGTTTTTTTGTTTGTTTGTTATAGCTGCTGATTTTCTTCAGATTGTCAAGAATCCATGTCTGATACAATTTCAGAGCAAGCAACATCTTTGACCTTTAATTCAGTCTCTCAGAAGACTGCAGTTTCAACTGACGAGACCAAATCTTTCCAACTACCAGAATGGAATGCTAGGATTCCCTCCCTCTTTAGGCTGGAAGCCAGGCCCCGTCACTCTGTCCAGCAGTCAGGCCTGCAGAACAAACTGAAGATACCTACTACTCAATACACTTTTTTTTTTTTCCTTAAATCCTCAGACCAGCGTAAACATACTCTCCGGAGTATTCGTTCATTCAATATGAAATATATGTGTATATATATATATAAAAGGCAAAAAGCCAATATCATGTCTGTGTTTTTCTACTTAAATGTTAGATTTGTTGGAACGTTTCGGTAACTCTCTCTGTTTCTGTCTGGGCTAGGTGAACTGAACCCTTGCTTGAACTGCTTGATCTTGAATCTCATAGGTGTGGTTTGTTTGTTGTTTGTTTGTTTGTTTTTTCAAATTCCCCCTGTTTATATTGGTATCTTTATGGTTGGAAAAGACCGTTCTTAATTTAATTGTGGCTAATTATGCATTTCCATAGATTGATAGATTGACTTTTCTGCCCTCAGAAATCTTATTTGTTCTTTCCTCGAAAAAAAGTCGTGATTTCTTCAGGAAAAACTTAGCTTTTAATTCTGTGTATTGTTCAGACACAAGAAACGGAAGATGAAGCAGGTATCTTAATTCTAGAGTTGAACTTTTTTTGTTACTTTATTTCTTTACTTTTCTTTACTCTTACATAAACAGCAAGAACAACAACGACAACAACAAAAGAATCTGAAATGTTATTGGAAATTTCTTCCAAAAGGAAAATTATGTATTGATTAATGACTGAATGTCTATTCAGGATTTATTCAGCAGATGAACCATATATTTAAGCATTCCTACAAACACTGTAATTACATACAATTGTTTTTCTCATAATTTATTCTATGCAGTAATTTCACGTGGTTTTAGGATTCTAGAAGGTGAGGCCATTTAATAAAGTAAGCAATAAAATAACTTCAACTTCAGTCTCATTTTACTGCTTGTAGTATAGAAATTTTGTTCTTTATGTTGCACCATGTAAACTTACGTAGCCACGTCTGGGAAGATGCTTAACAACATCTGCAGCTTCAGCGTTAGCATTTCACTCTTCCTAGCAATGAAAATATGCATATCCTGGGATACCTTAGGATACCAAACATCTGAGGATGTGGAAAGGAAAAAAAAAACAACAGTGTGGTATATCATGTGCATAGAATATTGGAAGTAGTGACTAAACTCCATACTACTCATCAGGATGAGATATACATTTAAAATTGTAGCACCTAGAGTAATAAGCCTGATCCTTTACATTTGGAGGAAGTGCTTTGGTAGTCTTTTAAACAATCAATTTCAGATGGGATGTTGGGTTGGGTCGTCTTTGAATGGATGAATGGTTCTTTCTCCATTGTATGAACTTTGTGAGGTAAGTGTAACAACTGTGGCACAATCCTATACTGTAGGAACGCCAGAATACCTAAGGAGAAATCCAGAAAGCATCTAAGATGTTGTAAAAATAGAATCTAAAGAGCAATTCACAAAAATCTGTTGCTGGCTTAGATGATTGTATTTCCTTCAGAAAACTTAGTAGTTAAACTTCACGTGAAATGTATATAGCCAAAGGTAATGCTGTTGGGCCAGAGCAGAACTGTGCACCTTCAAGCTTCTAATCATTTGAAGCTTGTCAAGAAGTGCTCCTGCCTGCCTATCCTGAAAAGTATGTGTGAGAGAGAAATTAATCTTCACAGACAACAGTCATAATGATTCTCTTTAAACTTCCTGAAGCAATAGGTGTTAGTGATGAGCGACGCTGCACCAACAGAGCTAGAGGAAAAGGCCACAAACTGAAACACCAAAAGATCTGCAGGAACTTAAGGAAAAATTTCTTAACAGTGAGGGTGATGGAGCCCTGGAACAGGCTGCCCAGAGAGGTTGTGGAGTCTCCTTCTCTGGAGATCTCCAAGGTCTGCCTGGACACAGTCCTGTGCCACGTGCTCTAGGTGACCCTGCGTGTGCAGGGGGGTTGGACTAGATGACCTCTAGAGGTCCCTTCCAACCTTAGTGATTCTATGATTCTATGAAGATTCCACCAGAGTATGCAGAGAAGTTGTTCCTAATTTCTCCCATGGAAAAGCGAATTGACAGATTGTATTAGTATGTGTATCTACACTGTAGTGCAAAAAAAAAACAGACAAATGAATTTGCAAAAGAAGTTGTGTCCACCCAAACGGAGCATGTTTGTATCTGCATAAAGGCTTGTTTCTGATGGCGAAGCTGGTGTATGTTCATGTTAAATAGGCAAGGCGAGCAGTTACCATGATGGGAAAAGATTGAGTTCAAAAATGGGGCTATTAACCATTACCTATTTGTTACAACACTTTAAGTGTCCATATTTTTTGCCTAAAGAGCATTCCAGGTCCCCTTAAAAGTTGATGAAAGTGCTTTAGAAATACTGTGTTTGTTTGACACTCTCTATACACTTTCTATATGCTCATATTTCTATACGTTTTCTTCTTCTTTTGGCATAAAATCATTCTTTTTGCTCTCTGAGCAGCAGCAACCATAGGAAGTTTCTTCTTCATGAGTAGGACTTTTCAGTCCAGCTAAAAGCTATGCCATAGCATCCCCTGGCACTACAGCCACTTCCTTGAGGAGGAGTCGTCAAGGGATAGGCTGAAACCCCTTAGTGAGACCAGATGAAACTGTTGAAGTACAAAGGAGAGGGAACTTATTCTATTAAGTAACAGGAAGTTTCAAAGCTGGGGCTGAATGTGTTTATGAATACAAAACTTGTTTTCTTCCTATTTATAATATTGTCCTGATACTCGTTTATTTGTTGTGCGGTTCTACTGTGGGAGCACAGAAACATTAGGTTCATATTTACAGTCCTGTTGCGCTCTGGTGGCTAAAAGAGTTTGTTTTCAGGGATGGCTTATTTCAAGTAGTTCAAGTTTTTTTGTCTTTAAAACCTTTTTCTGTGAGAGGAACCGTAGTCCATATTGTGCTGCGTACATACTAAAATCAGAATGAAACAGAGAAAATTGGCATTGTCGCTGTGCAGGAATGATGCAGATGTTCATAAAGCATTTGCTTTGCCAATTTGCAATCACAGAGTCTTGGCAAGGTAGTAATTAACCTAGGATGTGCGCAAATGGGCCCTTATTTATTCTCAACCCAAATTGTTCACACTTGGGATGAAATTATGCCTGTTTGTAGCAGAGCAAGAGGAGAGTCTGTTCTGTCTTTGCATTTCTACACTACTTCTAAAATTACTCATCCTACAACTTTCTGTGTCTAGAAAGCGTGTTTTTTAAAGATGACTTTTTCTAGTCTGGTTGGGTGTCTGTGGTGAAACGCAAATGGTATATCACCATAATTCCATTGGTAACCTTTAAACGTTGTTTGGGGGACACAAGCTATGTATCAGCACTTGTATTGTAATGACTGTATAGAATGTTTCCTTTCTATGGCTTTCTAATATGATAATTTTTTTCATCTATGTAATCTCTCTAATATCAGATATTATCTGTGATACCTGTTCTAAAACTATTACATTAGTGCCTATATCTCTATTGCCTTTTTATATAATTATTTCAGCAGTAAAATGAAATAAGGTGAGGATAATTAGCTGTATTATTTATCGTAGTTTGGAGGTAGTTAATCTAATTCAGAAATAGGTTATCAGCTCTATAATAATGTCCTGTAAAGAAGAAATCATATTTAATAAGGCAAATGATTATGGGTTAAATTGAAGAAAATCAAGCTCAGCTTAAAGTTTAGGGGAAAAAAATCTGGAAAGCTATGCACTAAAGTTATTTATAGGGATAGTCAAATATCCAGCACCAAAGATTTTGAGAACTTATCAAACCTTTCTAATGTTCATGTGTTTATCTAAGCATGATTGATTCTGCAGTGGAAAAGAATGGGGAACTAAAGGCTTTTAATGTCAGTTCTGTTTGATTTTGTTATATGTAATCTTAGGAATTTAATGTTTATATTTAATGACTTATATATTTTCTTTTATGTTTTTAGACACAGACATCAGTGAATCTGGTATTTCAGTTAAAAGCACTGGGTCAGCAGCTTCTATGACTGGTCATGGTGAGCGAAAGAGGAGGACACTTCCACAGCTTCCTAAAGAGGAGAAAGTGAATGAAATGTCAAAAGTAAAAACTGCATCTCATCAAAGATCAGAGATAGGTGAAAAGCAAGACACTGAACTTCAGGAGAAAGAAACTCCAACTCGTACCTCAGATGCTGATAGTAGAAGTATGACAAAGGCAAGCAGAACAGTGAATGGTCTTTCACCCAAAGCTGCTGGAGAGAAAGTTTTTTCTTTCCCCAGCAGCTGTTCTTCTAGTAAAGAGAGAGTTGAAACTGTCAAAGAAACTTCTGTTGTAAAGCAAGCGTTAGCAAAAATTCAGCAACAAGAAAGAAAGGAACAAGGACACTGGACACCCACAAAGCAATCTTCTTCAAAATCTGTTGCAAACCAAGCTAGGGAGGAAATTGCCATGTCACAGAAAATGTTGGATAATCAAGACAAGACTCCTGGACATGCTACTGATAAAACAGAAATGAAGTTGGTACAGAGTGAGGGGAAAAGAAGAAAAAATGAAGACTTTATTAAGGGACAAAGTCCTAAAACATCTGCAGGAGAAAAAAAGGAATCTTCAAAACCATTAGTGAGGCAAGGTAGCTTTACTATAGATAAGCCTAGCACTAATATACCTATAGAACTGATTCCTCACATTAATAAGCAAAGCGTACCCACTCTTCCTCTAACACCCGCAAACAGAATACGTGAAAGAAGCGACTCCATGGACACTGATTCTAGTATAGATACAACACTCATTTTGAAAGACACAGAGGCTGTAATGGCTTTCCTTGAAGCTAAATTGCGTGAAGAAAATAAAACTGATGAAGGTCCTGAGACACCTAGCTATAACAGAGATAATTCCATATCACCAGAATCAGATGTAGACACAGCCAGCACAATCAGCCTTGTTACTGGTGACTCTGAAAGAAAATCCACACAGAAGCGGAAGAGCTTTACGACTTTATATAAAGATAGATGTTCTTCTGGTTCCCCTTCAAAGGATGTTTTAAAATCTGCAACAAATGCTAGAGAGAAGATAGAAAAGAAAACTAAAAGTCGATCTTCAGATAGTGGGTCTAGAGCTGATGCTCGGAAACCTGTGCAATCCAGTGGAAGAATGAGACAGCCATCAGTAGATTTGACAGATGATGACCAAACATCTAGTGTACCTCATTCTGCTATTTCTGATATCTTATCCTCTGACCAGGAAACCTACTCTGGCAAATCACATGGGAGAGTTCCTTTTGCCTCCGCAGATGAACTTTTACATTCCAAAATGGAAGGAAAGTCAGGTAAATCAAAAACCTCTCCTGTAACACCTGGGCAATCCAGTAAATCTACCACTCTTCCAAGACCTCGTCCTACAAGGACTTCTCTTCTGCGCAGAGCGCGGCTTGGTGAAGCCTCAGATAGTGAACTTGCTGATGCAGATAAAGCCTCTGTGGCTTCTGAAGTGTCCACAACAAGTTCTACATCAAAGCCTCCATCTGGGAGAAGAAGTATTTCCAGAATAGACTTGCTTGCTCAGCCTCGTAGAACTCGACTTGGTTCTTTATCCGCACGGAGTGATTCCGAAGCAACATTAACTAGAAGCACAGCCTCATCTCGTACCCCTGAAGCTGTCATCAGAAGTGGTGCAAGGTTAACTTCTGCAGGAGATGGTAGTAAAGTTTCTGCTAGAACTCGAGCTAATAGTATTTCTCGACTTTCAGATTCAAAATCCAAATCTCTGGCTTCAGCTCATAATTCTCCTTCAGGTACGTGAGATTATTTGAACCAGTTTCATAAAGTAATAGGTTTTTTTTTTTTAAGTCTTTTTAAGGACCAGTGCTTCTGAAACATTCACCGAGTTTTGTTAACGCAATATTTCTTTGAAGAAAAAGGAGGCAACTTCATCGGCAAGGCTTATGGATCTTTCACGTTTAAAATTGCGAGGAAGAAAAATGTTAATCCTTTGGGAATCTGTTTTTTTTTTTTTTTTTCTTTTTGGAAATCAAAGCAAAGAGTTGTAGTAGTGCTGGTTTGCATGGTGAAAAAACAGAGCAGAAATGCCTTTGCTTGTTGAAGATCTCCGCAGTTGTAGCATTGAAATGTTTTGCCAGTTCTGCTCTGTGGAATGTTTTTATCTTTTTCTTTTAACCATAGTCATCTCTGTTATTCTGATTTACCTGCATTACACAACCCAAATTTAAGGTGACATGTATAAAATACTCTGTTTTCAAGAGAAAAAAGATGTATTATTATGAGCTATCCTAACATAGGTAGCTATCCTTGAAACACCATTCTTTAAAGAATCTACAGTAGAAGAGTAGGAGTAGCTTTCGCTATGAAAAGTTTTACCAGTTTATATACCAAAATGTGGGAGAAGCATATTTCACTGTAAAGACCAAAAAAAAAAAAAAAAAAGCCAGTCAGATACTTTCGAAGTAAAATCACGGCTTGATATACCTGTCAAGTCTTGTTATTATATTGGTAAAGTACTACTGTTTAGTATTTGGAGTTCCAGATTTTGCCTGTATGAGTAAGTTTATTGTATATTTGTAATGGGGATATTTAGAGTGTACTTGAGGGAAATTTAAATTTGCTGATGATTGGTGTACAATTTGCTGATGTATATAGGCAACAACTTAATGTACCTCCACTTTCCCATTAGCACCAAATGAAATGATCTAATAGCTTACCCAATACATAAGTTACTGAAAATACCATTTATTAGTTTATTCCTACATAAGGGTATTTAAAATACCTTTGAATAGTGTGGTATTGTTAGGCAAAATACTAAAAGGCAACTCAAATTTTGGGCCCAAAGAATTCTGAACTTACTTTTTCTTTGTAGAATGTCAACTTAATATCAACTTCTTTGGAGACTTCAACTTTTTGCTACTTAAATTTCAGTACTCTTTGAACCTGCTAATGAAGTGCCTGAGAAAAAATGTCTCAATATTTTGTTTGGAGCAGACTTAAGATATAAATGTGACTTATTCTCTTGTTTCCCTTGACTGGAAAATGAATGGTCATTGCCAATAGCACAGTTTTTTTCTTTTACCTGAAAAACGGTTAAGAACTAATTTAGGATTATTCCATAGGCCTTCTTATCAGAGTTCACTTAACGTTACAGTATTTTAGATCTCTATTTAACATTAACAGCACAATCACACTTTTTAAATTCAGACTACCAATGAGAAAAGTATTTCTGCATTTCCATTTTTTTTTCAAACATTTGGACCTGTAAAAGGAAAAAAGAAAAAAAAAAAAGAAGGAAAAGAAAAATCTAGTTTGGGGATTTTTTTACTGTGATGTACTTTGTGTGGATGAATTGTAAGGTAGTAGCATTAGAATTGTCAGAGCTGTCAGCAAGTCCATAATTTCAAGGATCCTTTTTTAAGCCTTGGTGCTGTTAAGTACTGCTTGCTTTTAAATGAAGGGGCAAGCAGATAAATGGAATGTCTTGGATGAGAATTACCAGCATTAAGATAATTATCAAGGTGTTTCTGTGCTAGGAGGCTTGATAATTGACAGCACAGTAAAAACATGAGAAGCAGGATTAATAGTTTTACAGATTTAATCCAAACAACAAAAGATTTAATCAAGGCACTGAATCTTTTTTAGCAGTAGAATTTGACTGTTAAAAAGAAAATTAGGAAAAGGAACAATAGGTTTCAGATCAGGCTTTAAGCAAGCTGGTTCTAGAAGCAGATTTTCCTTGCTTTTTTGTTATTGTTTGTGGGTTTTTGTGTTTTATTATTATTGTTATTATTATTATTAGGAATTTGTGAGCCAAACAGTAGCAAAGCGTACTAAACTGCAAATGTGAAAATGAAGCATTAATTCAGAGCAGAGAGAACCCATTAAGCAACTAGCTGACAAGCACTCAGCAGTTCTGCTGGCTTGCTGACCTACTTGTCCTTGCAAATAAGTAGAGGATAGGTTGATAGAAACTGTCAAGGTACCCGAAAGAACGCAAGGGTTTGAACAAGGAGAGAAAAACAACCATTACTAGTTACCTTTAGTACTGTTGCAATATGGAGCATAAAATTTCAGGATCCTTGGAAGATATGAAGCTTGAGAAAGCAATGCATCAATGAAAGAATGTTTTATAAAGGATATGCTGAGCAAAGCCTTTCCTGAAGTCTTTACAGTGAGATACCATGAACAAATTGCTAATCTTTCTCACTTAAGTTGTCCACACATCGTACTCCAAGCAGGCTACTTGTCAGTTTAGGTGCCAGCTTTGGGAGGATTTTCTGGCAATCATTTTTGATATTCACAGTCTGTGGCGCCCCAGGTGCCCAAGCTGATTGTGAGATTTATGCAGATTTCCGAAAGCTATAATCACATTTGTGGGCTGCATAACTCAGAACTTGTCTTAAAAACATAAATGTGCAAATGTGTAGCTAGCTGTATGCAAAACATGCTTGGTTATTGCCTGTCATGAATCTTGCGACTTCAAGATTTTTTCTGTTCGCTCTATACATTTTTTTCCCATGTTAATTAGCAACCTGTTTTTAACATGCAAGCAAAAGCCATTCTCAGGTGCTGTAAAATGTTGATGACCTTAAAAATTGAGAGAGCCTTTATAACACTCTGTAGTTAATTGCTATTGATATCATTTCATTTAGATAAATAGATTCTTTCTGATATAGTTAAGATTTTATAAAGTTAATTGGTTTTGAATGACTGTGTGACTTAAAAATCTTTTCCCAAGAAATGTGGGGGAACACTATATGAAAGAGAGTGTTTAACACTAATCTCAACAGTAGATTTTAATTAAGCAAGTAATGTGAATGTTTTAATAAGAAATAACATGATAAAACACTATTTTGTACACAGAGAAATCCAAGCTTCTCCCAGACCCAGAACCTGCTGTTGAAACTTACAGTGGTAGAGTACTAGAAATCAAATCTGTTTCTGATATTTCACTTCTCATTCAATCTTTAGTTTTTAAGTATATGACTACATATGCTCATTGTACAGTGTTGAGTTTCTGCACTAGCTCACATGAGAGATTTTAAGACGAATTTTATAATTGCTTTGATGGATTTAATTGGAATTGGGACAAAGAATTTTAACAAAAAACTGTGATAAACTGTGGGCCCAACTCATGAAGTACCCCGGACTTCGGTCATACATTGCTTGCATGCTATACTGGTGGGGAAATGTGCTTTTTCTGCTTATGTTCTCCTTCCCTATGATCAAAATACGTTTGAAACCTAAAAGAGAATAGTAAGTAACTAGCAAGACATTTTGATTTTCTTCAGTTAGGTTATTGAAGTTAGATTATTGAGAAAACTTCAGTAGAATTGGACATGACTTGAAGCCCACGTACTTCAAATTAGGCTCATATTTAAACCTGAAAAAATGCATAAGCATGTTTTTTGTCTCTAGCAATTTAAAAAGCATTTCTATGAGGGAATATGAGCTTATACGCCACTGTTTTGTTGTACATACTCTTAATAATATTTCAGTGGATTATGTAAATTATAACTTTTTTCACTGAAGATGTTTTTGTAGGTGTGCTTCTCATTTTTGAAACACAATAGTAATTTTTTTTTCTGTGTTAAATACATTAAGTATTCTCTAGAAGTTTTATGCTTGCTTTATGTAAGCATGTAGTCAGGGATTGGTGCCAGCTTACTCCTTCCTTCATGTCTTTTTAGTTCTGTGTGCATCACTTAAGTCTGGAATATAACTTGGGGAAAAAATCTGCAGAAAAAGTGCTATCTGGCTATATACTTAGATGTTAATGAATTGGGCCCTTGTTTTGTAAATACACTTTGCCTGAGCTTACATACAATTACTGACTTTTACATCATTTCTCACTCATCATTATACAAAGAGCATCCGTTTTATGTTTTATTAATCAATATTTATTATTTAACACAAATTTTGTAGCTTTTTAAGCTGTAGTCAAAATTTGTAAGGTGTCTGGGGATTGATAATGAATAGTTGCATATTTCTGTGGTATTGCTGAAATAATAACTTTGTTATTTCTTATAAGAGATCCTATAATAATTCTTTTTTAATAATTAAACTAATTTAGTAAGTGCAAGATGGAGGCGCTTTCCTACAGATTATGCTTCCACCTCAGAAGATGAATTTGGATCAAACCGTAATTCCCCTAAACATACCCGTCTACGTACCTCTCCAGCCCTGAAAACCACACGACTGCAGAGCACTGGGACAGCAGCTCAAAGTAGCAATACATTCAAGCACAGAATAAAGGAACAGGAAGACTACATTCGTGATTGGACTGCTCATCGCGAAGAAATAGCAAGGTTGGTTTTAAAGGAGTGCCTCTAAAATATCAACAATTTGTATCCAAGTGGTCATATGTGGGGAAAGTGAGCTGATGGCTTTTCTATATCATTCTACTTAGAGCTTCTATTTGCTCTGGTAGCTCAATGGGTAATTTTGTGAGAGCCTGACAGACAGAACACTCGTGTTACCAGCACATGATTTGCTAATGGAATATGGCAGTCACTGCTGATAGCTAAATCTCATAATAGAAACTTCTGGTTGCATTAGTACCACTTACAGATGTACTTTGTGTAGAAGACCTCGTCTCTGACAGTCTGTTTCTCAAGTCGAAAGTGTTTGGTTTTATACTGGCTTTCTATTGATATTGAGGTAAAATTTCAGACCGGTGTATAGGTGAGCGTGAGGAGTGATTCTTGTCAGTGTGAAAGACCATGTTCTCATTTTAATTTTGAATTTATTTAGATATTACTTCATGATAGATATTTTCTAATTTAAATCATATGTGTTCATCAAAAAGTAATTTCTACTGTTGCTAGTGCCTGAGCTAGTGTAGCAATTTCTTTGTTACCGCCATTAGCACTGTGCTTCAAATGGACCTTGAAAAATGTAGTCAGTTCTACAGTCAAGTAACTGACTCTTCATGTAATGTTTTTTTTTAATTTGATTTTTTTATTTTAATTTGAAATTAATTTCAGATTTGTTCACATAGCTAGTGCTTGCCATGGTGTTTATCTAAGAAATTTTTTGCCGTTCACGTTAGAATTGTTTTATTAAGAAATTTTCAGGATTCACTTGATTTCTGTTTTATGTAGACTTGAAATGCTGACATGTTACAGAATTTTGAAAAATTCTGTTAGTGGCTGTCACATGTTGAAACAGTACTGATTTCTTTGGAGAGTTACGTATTAGCAGTTTTTTACTGCTTCTGGTTTTACTGTTGAATGACGCTTCTCTTGTGGAGGAATTGCTGATAACAGCAATTTCTTATCCTTTTTTTCCTTCATAACTGTTCATTAAATACCAAAACTTTTCCCAGAAGTTCGAACATTTGATAGCATGCCTTTTATTCTTTGTCTTTTAAAACTGATGTGGCTTTCTGAAAAGAAGGTAATTGCTGAATAGTAGCTCAACTTGGAGGCTTAATGGTGCGCATTTATAAGAACATGAAACACACAAAAATGACCTCAAAAGAAATCGTAATTAGACTTTATTTGTTAAGATAGTTAGAGACACATAACATACTTTATAAATAATTTATAAATAATTAACCTGTTTTTGCTTTACTGTTACAGTCTTTCATTGTTTGAATTCAGAAATAATGTTTTGAGTGGGTACAGGTAGTTGCAGCATATTGATTCCACTGCCTTATTCTAATTGTATGTTTATTCATGCCACACAACACAACACAACAATGTGCTTCATTGGATTGCTAGTACTTAGATTGTATGTTTATTCATGCCACACAACATTGTGCTTCATTGGATTGCTAGTACTTAATTACAAAATCCGGTGCTGAAATTTGAGTAAAAATTCCTATAATTATGTTTTTTCTTTCTAGACTCTCAATCTTAATCTCCATCTCTATATCAGTAGAGTCCACTTATTTTGACTTGAAGAGAGAGGCCATTTCAAAATAGCGGAAGAAGCCTCAGCTCTTAATAAGCAGTGACGAGTGTAACCTCACTGCACAACTTCTATTTTTTTCCAGATCCTCCTAACTGCTGCTCTAAGCTGGAGATTCAGACTGCTTTAGTTAGTGGTGGGTGCAGTAGTAGCGCAAAGGCTAAGAATTCAGAGCAGTCCACCAAGCACTCCCTCTTCATACCTCTGCTGAGGTTGGCAAGCTCTCTTCCAGTGCTTGTCTGCTGCCAAGCAGATTAAAGCTTTAGCTGAGTTATTTTGTGATGCCATGCATGAGGAGAAAAGAAAAAGCGCAGTAGCTGTAAAGGCAGCAGTTCAGAGCACTTCAAAGAGTAGTTAGTCTCAGGAGTCTTTGGCTGGGAAGTGAGATGTACTTGTGCTGTCATATCCAGGTAGGTACATCCTGTCCTAACAGGAATGCGTGCATTGATTAATTTTGAGCATTGTCTGGAAATTCAGATGTGCAAGCAGCTTGTTTCGAGCAAGGCACAGGGCTGCTGGATAACCAGGAGTCCTGGAGAAGTTTTTTGTAAGTAGGTAAACTATGGTACAGTTGTAATATCTGTAATGATACAGGTAATATCTGTATTAAATCAAATATATTCCAGATGTGTCAGCTTCACTGCATACACACAGATCATCTGTGCAATATGTTCACAGTAATTCCAGTACATTTCAAATGTTGCACTTACTGTCCATGTTGCACATACCTTTGCCTGGGAACACTACAAAGAAAAGAAGGAAACTCTGTCTAAAAGTTTCAAATAAATTTTGCTCTCTAAGGTTTTGTGAACAGATCTTGAATTTATTATAATCATATATACATTATCCTAGAACAGTCATCATCAAGAGCTAAAACATAGAAGCCCAAAGGCTGTAGGCTGGACTCTGCTGCTCTGGAATTATTTGCAGGGGGGAATGTAACACTGTCTTTATTACTAGGATCAGTCAAGATCTGGCTCTCATCGCACGGGAAATCAATGATGTAGCAGGAGAGATAGATTCAGTGACTTCTTCAGGCACTGCCCCCAGTACCACAGTAAGCACTGCTGCCACCACCCCTGGCTCTGCCATAGACACTAGAGAAGAGGTAGGAGATCTTCATGGAGAAATGCATAAGGTTCTTTCTTTTCTTTATTTCTTTTGCTTTTAGCATTTTGCATAGCCTTTTTTTAGTTATTCCACCTAACTTATATGCATGATCTCTGCATACTCTTTTGATTTAAAATTCCTTCACATTTTGACAAGTAAGCGACCCAGAAATGAATCTATGAACAAAGTTTGTCAAAAAGATCACCCAAATGCATTCTGTCTGTCTCTTTTTTTCCACAAAACATAGGGCAGAATGGCTATTTGTTTCTTGCTTGTCCAAAGCCTTAGATACCACTTGGTAGTAGTATCTAAGTGCATTTAAAGATACTAGTGTGTATGCATGAATATATACAATTGTGTACATATATAACTTTTCATGGCTGTTACAAACAGAAATGCCTGTCTTTTCACAGTTGACATGAAAATGTATCTTCTGAACACTAAAATGCTTAGTTAGCATTAACAATACCTTTAGATTTTCCTTTCTAATAACATTCTCCAAAGATGCATTGAAATACGTTTGCCCTGAGCTTGTGCTAGTTCTTATTTTCTTTGACTTTCTCTAGCGTGTTGCTGTATGAATATTTTGACTAACTTGTTCTAGTAATCATCACAGGTCTAATACTGGTAAATATTTTAATCTGATATGTTGATCTGAATTTAAATCATCTCTGTCTGCCGTATTACAATTCATCCTAATTTGTCATAAATGTTTGACTGTATTTTCTCCCTCATAGTGCTACCTTCAAAATATGTTTACTCATTTTTTGTGTACATAAGGTTTGGTTAATACATTAGTTGGCTGTGTTTAGTATAAGGCTGTCATTTTCTGTGGAAAAAAAGATATAAACAGTGACAAGAAATCAGTGAGGTGTGTATCCACTAGAATTATAACTACACCCACCTAGATTTTTATTATTATTATTATTGTTAAAGAATCATAGCTAAACTTCAGCAAGTAGAAGTGTGATCCAGTTAGATCACGCTGACTTACATATTATGAAATTCATGTTAATTTTCTTCTTTAAAAAATACTGTGCAGTGCATACATGCTACTGCCCGTGGCAGTACCTCCTTCCTGTAGGTTTAGGTGTTTCTATTACCATATGACTAATTTGTTTGGCTGAAGTTAAACTATGGCACTACAGTACTAATTTGACAGATATGTTTCATTAATCAGGAAAATAATTTATCTAGCACCACTTCATAGGTAACTAACTTGCTACCTGTATATAAGCAAAATTTTTCATGAGGTTTCTGTTGCCATGTATGTCTGGAATTTGGAGGAAAAAAAAAGCCAATCAGTTGTGCAAGGTTTTGTTACATCAGATTGCATTATTTGATATGAGACCAATAGAGTGATTTTTCGTTTGATAGGGTCTAGTAACCTGTTTCAGATGGAAAAATATTAGTCCTATCATGCATATATCCAGCAGATTTCATAAGATGCATCTTTCTTTTCCCCACAGTTGGTTGACCGTGTATTTGATGAAAGTCTCAATTTTAGAAAAATCCCTCCATTAGTGCATGCCAAACCACCCGAGGGGAACGGACGGCCTGGTGACGGCAGACCTCAGCTAGCGGATGCCCTTGATCCCCCAACAATTACCCGAAGAAGAACCTGGAGCAGGGATGAGGTGACTACACAACTTGTTTTTCTCTACAAGTCTCTTGAGCTTTTGCAGTTGTCTCCCCACATAATATTCCAGACATGATACTTTGCTACCTGTAGCATTCTAGTAATACTCGAAGAAAGTATTCCTGTACTATTTAGTTTGTATAACGTTCAAAATTTTTTGTTTTGTGTAGGATAGTGATTAGGATACAATTATATTTTTGTAACTTAAAGTCTATTTCAGAACTTATGTAATTGTTTGCATCTAATTCCAATTGAACTAATAATGTTTTTTTTTTCCATTAAAATTTATTGCAGGTTATGGGGGACAGCTTGCTTTTGTCCTCAGTCTTCCAATTTTCTCGCAAGATAAGACAATCCATAGACAAAACAGCTGGCAAAATCAGGTATGTGTTTTTTGGGCATTGTAATTACTGTTCTTCTCGCATCACCCTTCCTACCCATTGTAATTATGTTTTGAATACAGATACAGAGTAATACAGAGTAAATATATTGGTAGCAACTTTTGTTATAAAGAAAGCAATGCTCATTATGGCTTTTTCAAAAATGTTCAGAAAGATTTGGGAAAAATAATTATTCCATTATTGTTTGTGTTTCATATTATACAGAGATAAATATCAACAACAGTTGAATGGACAGAGCAGTATCAGTCCTAGTCCAGCAATGATCCAGGAACAAATGCTGTGCAAAATCTATACTACCTCTATACAAATCTCCTAGAACTTCTTTTCTTAAAAAGATAGGATTAAAATGTTGCTCAGCTGTAAAACTGGACCAGCCAAGCTCCTCCAGTGATTGCCCACTTTGGGAAGAAAAAGCAAATGGGAGAGCAGTTTCAATAAATCCATCTGAAAAATAACTTGTTTTGGAGAGGTGATTAGACAATGCGGGAAAGCAGTAGGTTTATAAAAGCCTTGTTTCATGTCAGAGGCAGGAAGAAAGTTCTTAAAGGTGTGTTAAGATTCCCTAACAAAATTATATGCAACAAAAATCAAAGCAGTTAGTATCACTCACGTAATTTCATCACTTTTTTTTTTTTTCTTTTTTTTTTTGCTTTGTTTTGTCCTCTGCTCACACACACTTACAACAGTAGTTCTGTTCTTCCGAAGATGTCAGTGAGCCCCAGGAATATAGCTGAATTTATAAAACAAGCTGCATAAGCTCAAATTATTGTCTCGGAGGACTGCAGCTGAAATACATAAAATTCTTATTTCAAGTCTTCAGAAGATGTAACTAGATGACTGCAGTAATTCCTTCTGGTGATAACATCTTTCCATCCAGATGAAGCTTAACAGCTTCTCTGCAATTTCACACTGCTTTTTTCACCTTTGCAGAACATGGCATTTCTGTTTAATTGGCACATATATCACCATGATTACCTTGAGAAGCTACTAGCACAGTAATCAAATGAGAAATTTTGAAATGGCTGCAGTAAATAAAACAGCTAGAATTTTTTTTAACATTTTTAATGGTGGAATGTTTCAGAAGGAACAACTATGTATATAAAGCACTGTAATAGCAGCAAGCACTATTGTCCTAAATTCTAGTAAACATGCTGACTACTATTAAGTCTGGATTTCATATTCACTCCAGCATATATGCTCTCTCCCACTAACTTTCTTAAGAGCGTGGCATCACCTTTGCCAAAGCTTAGAGTTCATATGCTATTGTCACACAGATAGATCTGCATTTGGATGTCTGCACTTTATTACTCTTTGATAGTCTGTGATAAAGCTTTTTCTTCCACACAGCTTCAGAGTTCAATTTCTACAGCTTACTTTTATTTTCTGTTATTTTGAGCTGTTATTCCACCCTACTTATATCTATCCAGAATTCTGCAGAGTGAATTTTAGCACAAATATTTCACTCTCCCCCTTGCACTCCTCTAGTCATTCATTGTTCCATCTCAAATCAAATGACACATTTCTGGACTTTGCTTTCAACATCACTTCTGGTCTATCCTTCCCTCACTGTCAAGCATCTTATTCACAGCTCTTGCTCTCAAATTTCCCGCCATAACAGTTGACCTATTTGTTAAATTTTCAAACAGATATTTTCTTGTTTTAAGCACAATTCTGTGGGAAAATACTATGAAGTCCGTGCGGAACTCCATACCAGGATCCTTAATAGGATTTTTTACTGCTAAAGCTGCATTGTCAATACAACAATCTTGCTTATTAGTTGACTTATTTGTGGTAGGATTCCAGGAAGATATGTAAAGTGTCTCAAAAGAAATGTGTTTCATACTCTACTATATTTTTGTCTCGATATTTCTTGTTAGTTGGACTCTTCATAATCTATAGTTTATTGCCAACATTACCTCAGTTTATTCAAAATAAAAAACCCTGTGAGTTCAGCACAATAACTTAAAACAAATTTATGCATGCATATCTTTTCTGAGGAAAGAAAGTAACTATAAAATCAAGGCTTATATTTTTCTGTTTTCTTTCCTGAGTTTATAAGAGGTTGGTCAGCTACGTCATAATTAGTGGAGTAATTATATGGTCTTTGATGACATTTTAAATATAGGAACACCTATAAATATGATATGTAATCCCACTTGCTTACTCTAAATGTGTATATCCACAAAATATAATAGAAAAGCTTGCATCAGTAAGTAACAATTTACCATTTTCCTCAGAGATGTAATCAAAAATAAAGTGGAAAAGGATGTAATTATACAGTCCTGCTTTAAGTTAATTTGAATAATAGAAAATTATTCATAATATAAATGGAACTTTGAATCAGAAAAATTAACAGTAGTCAAGAACTGCTTTTTAGGGATCATATAAAGGATCAAGAGCCTATGTACATCAAAGCAAAGATAATTACAAACAAAGATGTTAGGCAACATACATCTGACAAAGCTGAACTCTAAAGATAAGTTCCATTGGCAGGTATACTTGTCATTTCACTGGGGCTAAGCAAATTAATATATCTGTGAGACTTGCAAGCTGGCAATTTTGCCAGCTGTGTCTCTTCCAAAGCTAAAAGGGGAAGAGAAATTTTAAAAGGTGCCAGTAAATAGTTGTGTGCTTGACTGTGTTTTGTGGTTTTAAAACTCCTTCCTAAAACCTAATTGTTTACACATGTAGACTTCTTTCACAAAAAGACAAGGCAATTACAGTTTTTGTGAATTGCATCTTAAAAATTATATCCCTCCAAGCTGAGCCAGTTGGAAAAAGACATGCTTCCTGTGAATGTGATCTTTGTTTTCCCTAATATTTTATTTGCAATAGGTATCTTTACTAAAAAGATCATTTTTGCTTTGGCAAAATATTAAGGGCATAAATATTTTTAGTTATTTTTGACCAGAAGATCTACCAGAAATTAAAATGAGTTGCAAGGAATAATGAAAATAAGGCTGAGAAGGAAATATCATTTTTCTGAGTTGTTTATTTTCCTGCTTGATTAGAGAAGCTATTTTTTTGATTTCTCATTACAGATAATGTCTGAACTAATCTGAGTTTTGTTGTCATTCCTATCTTATATATTTTCTTAATGTGATGAAGAAATAGGACTGAAAGAAGCTTTTGCTGCTGTATTTCTCTGTTAGATTCTGGAGTGCGGGCCAGGCTGTTCTGTGCCAAGTCTAGCACGGTGACCTGCTTGAGACATTGAAGTGTCCAATTCTTTCCTTTCACCTACTTCTTTTCTTAAGGATATGGTTGTAGCCTGGATATTGCTATGTTGCTTCTTTATAATGTATCTTTATCCATTACTGTGCCTGTTCACTTAAGTTTTTATCCAATACTGTGTTTGAAACTAAATTATATTTTAAAATTACTGCAACTTACATGTCGCATATCATACAATGAAGTCTATGCTTGCAGACTCTGATAGTGGCTTCTCCAATGCTAAACTGTACATCCAGTTTGTTTTTCTGTCTTTATACATTATAATGAGCTTGCAAGACTTGCAGAGATTGTGAAGGGAAAAGGTAAGTTTGTTTTTTAGAGGCAAAACCTATGTGATTTTGTCAGTGCTGTACAGCATGAATGTGTAGCAGGCAAGTACCTGTGTAGCGAAGCAAAATTTAGGCCAAACGATAGGGTCCCTGTGGTTACCAACTTGTCAATCTCTCCTGTTCCCTGTCTGGCCTGCTAAGTGCAGTAAAGGAAAGGTGAGGACTAAGCACAATCAAATAAGATTTAGAAAAATTTGTCCCAGAAGGGCAGACTAGAAAAGCAAGAGCAGGTGATGATAGGCAAATCTAAATATGTTATTTTAATATAAAGACTGTGGTAAGGAGGAAAAAAGATCAAAGAAGATAGTGATCTAAGCCTTCAGAAGGTTAAAATGTATTAAATGCTGAAATAAAAAAAATTGAAAAAGGCAGTATAAATGTTGGCAAATAAAGGCAAATAAAAATAAAAACTGAAAAAAAAAGTTGTAAAAAGGCAATAGTCTTTCTAAAGTAATACCAAAAATCAATTGGACTGCTCACTTTACAAAACCTTATGTTTTACATTCTTACTAATTTCCAAGGTGATATAAATGCTATTAAAAACAGAAAGTGTTACTATGTAGGCTTTTCTATATGCTAACTCCAAACATTTCCAAAATTCAGGCTTTCTGGCATTTGCCTTGATACTATTATATTATGTCATTTAAATAATGCTTCCTCTGACTGAAACATCTAACAAAAAACATGCTTCAGTTTGGATACAAAAGCAACTGTGAGTGAAGACAAAACAGCAGTTAAAGCAGCTTCTGGATGGTATCCTGCCTATGGCATCCATATACTGAGGGGGCAGGGTACAAGCTTTGCATAAGTAGACTTTCCTGACAAGATAGTGGTTGAGAGTGGGATTTTTTTCCATAGACGAAGGAAGATTAACAGAACTGCAGTATTAAGACTGCCAGCCTCCTTTGAAATCTTTAGTCTTTGAAGTGCTGAGATGCAATGTATCAAGGATTTCCACCTTAAAAAAAAACATTTGCTCTGAGCCTTAACTACACTAGTAACTTCTTGAAAAGAGGCAACTTTTTGCTCATGTCTTTAAATTATTTTTTTGCTTAGCAGTCTTACTGTGGCTATTTTTGTACTTTTATCTCTGAAATACCATTAATGGTTGCTGCAATTACAGTTCCAACCAAGGTTAGTATCCAACTATAGCAACTAGAGACATAGAAGATTTGGAATATACTCCTTGTGTCTCCATAATGTCGCATACTCATAAAAGTGAATACTCAGGCCTTAAATATGCATAGATTTATTTTTTAAATTGTCTAAATGTAGACAACTTAAATGATGTATATGATATGGCAAATGAAAACAAGAATTGTATATCACAGCAAGATGTTATGTATATCACAAAACAAAAAAATGGGAAGCTCATAGTATGCTTTAGGATTTTACAAATAATAGAAGTGACTTTTCTAAACAGAAGAGGGGCCTGGAACATCTGCCCTATGAGGAAAGGCTGGGAGAGCTGGGCCTGTTCAGCCTGGAGAAGAGAAGGCTGAGAGGGGATCTAATCAGTGTCTATAAGTACCTCAAGGGAGGGAGTGAGGAGGATGGCTCTGGCCTCTTTTCACTGGTGGCCACCGACAGAACCAGAGGTAATGGCCACAAACTGAAGCACCAAAAGTTCCACAGAAACTTAAGGAAAAATTTCTTAACAGTGAGCGTGACAGAGCGCTGGAACAGGCTGCCCAGAGAGGTTGTGGAGTCTCCTTCTCTGGAGATCTTCCAAACCCGCTTGGACGCAGTCCTGTGCCACGTGCTCTAGGTGACCCTGCGTGTGCAGGGGGGTTGGACCAGATGATCTCTAGAGGTCCCTTCCAACCTTAAGCATTCTATGATTCTATGTAGTTTGTGCTTTGAAGATTTCCAAGCATTAGGAGAAAATATGTTCTATGATACAGGTGTTTATTTAACTTCCTAAATTATTTTATTTTTCATTAAATTAATTTAAAACACAAATACAAGAGTTGTGTTTATTTAGCAGTGATATTTTTCTTTTAAATTTTGCAGCTATTGCAAAGTGCAGCCTTAATAGGGAACTCTGACTACTGCTAATCGTTGGATTAAAAAAAAAATCTCTCAAAGCTGAAGGAAAGAATCTGAGGTGTTTTTTTAATACCACCCCTAAATATCTAGCTTATTTGGCTTACCATTTTATTATCAGTAAGAATGATATTGCTGCAGTGGTGTATGCTTCCCTGAATATCTAAACTGTATGGTTGTATTCTGTCATTTTTTTCAGATTTCAGTTTTATTCAGAGTTTCCTAGGCTGTTTTCTTGTGTCCTGCATCCAATCTATAAGTGATAGCTTTTTATTTTTTGTCTATTTTAAATAAAGTATTCTTGCCTGCCTTTCTTATAGAATATTATTTAAGGACAAAGACAGAAATTGGGATGAAATCGAAAACAAGCTGCGAGCTGAAAGTGAAGTTCCAATTGTGAAAACATCAAGCATGGTATGAACCGTTATCTCTTCCTGGGTGAAATGAGTCTCTTCCTCATTTAATATCCAAATAATCAGCAGCAGAATTGAATTATCTTCAATTATATAAATGCAAAATTAAAAAAAAAAATTCCTAGCCACTCAGTATAGTTCAATAAACCTAATCCTTTTTAATAATTAGTAAGCCTTACTTTCTGATACATAAATAATCATGAATAATTAAATGGGGGAATTATTCCTTACATAAAGAGTAATTTGAAAACATACAACAAATAAGTACAAACTCTGTAAGTCCAGTTAATTAAAGGTAAGGTAACAACCATGAGAATTTGAGTGTTCAAATGGTTTTAAATAATCTTGTTTGACAGTCTTAAGCTAATTTAGCAACTCATTATTAATATTTAAAGAAACAGTTATATTTCGCTATGTGTGTGAATGAAAAGAACCCGTAGCTATACTGCAGTAAATTCACTCTTCAAATCTAGAATCGTGCTGAAGTGTTAACTTCAGTGCACCATCCATAACCTTCATCCACCCCTGCTGAATTGGGGCAGACAGCTTTCTTTTCTGAGGGAAAGGTAGGAGAGGAGATTCCTCCTCACAGTCTTGATACTAGGCTCCTACAGAAGCAGAATATGAACACATTTCCTCCTAACTTGAACTGCCCGGCACTTCGCTGTTTTACAACCTTGAGTTATTACACCATAAGGTGCATTCAGATTGGTTTTCCCTACGAGTCTTACATACTTGGCCAGTATTTTCTGCTGAATAGTGATGTTTTTTGCTTTGTTTTGTTTTAAACCAATCATTACTAACTCACTGTTATAACTTACACTGACAGGTTTTTTTTTGAGCAAGTTACTCATGAAAATTTCTAATGTTAGAAATGCAATGTGTTGATGTGGAATCTGCTCAAAGATAACTGTAAAATCCAACATTATCAATCTCTGGGTTAGTCGCACCAAGTTTATTAGTACAAAAGTCTTTCAATGGGTTTCTGAAATCAGCTTTTTTGAAAATCCTCAGCTTTTAAGGACACACAAAACCAGTGGTAGCTCTTTAGCAGTAATTAGCAATGGTCTTCAGTGAAGGATTCTGCAGCAGCAGGATTAACACATTTATAATTTGACACGTGATACATTTAATGATTCTTGTGCTTCTGACTGACTCACTGTGACTAAGTCATGCAGCACCCGAAGGGCAAATCTGCAAAGCAAAGGAGCACCGAGGGCCTGCCATCCCTGCTGCGCAGGGTCCCACAGGCCCCATGCCAGCAGCTGCGGACAAAATCCCAGTGAGCACGTCTTACCGGCTCTTCTGACTTGCATCTGCACAAGGTTATGTATCAACATCTACCCCCTTAATATGGGGTTTATCCTGTAACTTCCCTGTAGCGGCTTGCTATCACTTTGCCTCATTTCTACAGAACAGTAATGTCTGTGCTTGAGGAGATGTAGCATAGGCAGGTGTGCAGGAGACAGAATGAGATTTTATTGATTTGGGCAAATGGCTGGTCAGGAAGAACTCTTGTTCTGTGAGAGATCTGCATCTACCCAGCCTTAAAGTGTTCAGGATCCATGAAGGATTATTTACTATGACAGGCAGCTCGAATCTCTTTTTTCTTGTTGAGACATGTCCTTAAGCCTTTGAATATTTGTTTCTTTTCTAGGAAATTTCATCAATTTTACAGGAACTGAAACGAGTTGAGAAACAACTGCAAGGTATAAATACTTTTTTTCCCTCCTCTTTTTATTCCTTGCTTCCAATTTCTCCTATATAGAATTATAGAATCATTATGATTAGAAAAGACCTTCAAGATCATAGAGTTCAACCATAAACCCCTCCACACCATTTCTGTTAAACCATGTCCCTCAGTGCCTCATCTACACGTTTCTCAAACACTGCTAGGGATGGTGACACCACCACTTCCCTGGGCAGCTTGACTACTCCTTCCACGTAGAAATTTTTCCTAGGATCTAACCTGAACCTCCCCTGGCACAATCTGTGTGTGTGTTTGTTTATATTCAGTATGCAGTTCAGTATAAAGAATGTTTTAGGACCGTAATTATTGGGAAATCTCTAAAAACTTTATCTGGCATAATCAAATGTAAGTTTAGAATTAAACATTGACATCTTCGCTTCATATTACTGAATTCATTCTTTACAATTGTGGAGGCCTCATTTTATAAATGTAAAAGTTTACTTATTTGCTTTTCATATGCAAAAACTAATCTAGGTATATAACGTAGAAGAATGTGTTGCATTTATAAAGTATGTTATTTAGACTTCTCTTCCTTTTATCGAAATCAACTTAAAGAATGAATTTATTTTAAAAAGCTACAACCTTATTGTCTATTGTTCATACTTGGTTTAATTTAGAGGGATGAAATTCATTATGTGGTCAATATTTCTGTGTAACCATCATTGTGGTATAAATATCCTATATTTGTTATTTCTGATATTCAGATTTAACCCCATATTAATACATCCTTTAACATATTTCAGGAGGAATCCTTAGCCATCTTTATGGAGAAATCTATTTGTTTCATGGTCAGCTCTAACCAAAATACATTGAGTTGTTGCAGATTATATTGTTTAGAATATGCTGCTAAGGAACCAGGCCCAGAGATCGAGACCAAATCATTTCTTTGTGTGTCGACCAGTGTTCAAAGAAAAATTAACATGAGATTGCAGTAATCAAGAGCCTTCTAATGGGAATGATAAGAATGTATGTTAGTGTAGTTTAAATATGAAAAGCTATTTTCTTGTGCAGAGAATCATAATTTCTATGGCTTCTCCCCATCCCCCCTGCTCTTTCTTAGTGATTAACGCCATGATCGACCCTGATGGCACCCTGGATGCTCTAAGCAACTTGGGATTCGCCAGCCCCATCCTACCCGCTCAGGCGAAGCCCAAGGCGAGTCCCAGCTCCCACAGCTCTCGCTCCCCAGCGCAAGCCCCCTGCCAGCCCGAAGCGCGGGCCCCACGCGCGGCTGCCCTGCCGGCCCCGAGCGACTTTGACAACACCGAGTCCGACTTCAGCATCCACTTCAACAGGTTCAACCCCGACGGTGAAGAGGAAGATGCCACTCTGCGCGAATGACGTCTCGGCATTGATAGAAATAGCTTTCACGCAAAATGTTTAGAAATAAAAGAAAAATGGTAATATTGGTTTTATAAATAAACAAATGGCTTGGTCAAACAGCGGTTGTTTTGTTAAACCAGTTTTCTTTAACTGTGATGCTTTGATTGTCACACAAATCCTTTTGAAATCATAAAGATAAGCATAGATACCAGTGTAGAAAAGCAGATTGTGGCAGGATTGCCCTTTGTGGTTGTGTGCTTTGCAGAAGAATTATTATCTCAGCAGTTTTCCCTTAACAGATTTATTTCTTTCTAAAAGCCATGCAGGCAATCTAACATTTAATGTTACTGAAACCCCAAATGTTTTTGCCAAGCTGCTCTATGAATGGATCTCCTCCGCTAAAGTTTACACAGAACTGTTGAACAGTTATGGTTTGATTCTGAATGAGATGATTTATATAGGAAACATTGTCTTTGACTACAATGACACATTACTGTAAAAGGTAAGACAGATTTCACAAAGCTATTCTTTTCTTTGTACTGAAACCTCGAACAGTTCTGTGATTTATATAACCTCGTCGCTGCCTAAATTGTCTTGGGGTTAAAAAAAATTCACATATTATGTTTGCACTAAGATTTGCTGGGAGTGGTAGGTGAACATATCAATATCATTAAACAGCAAACAGTGTTTTGGTGTACATAGAAAACTGCTAATACTGTACTTGTATTAACACTGCAGTGTTTTGATCCACTTTCTGAAAGGACTATTTGGCACTTTTTGACCTTGTTCAAATGTCTTTTTGATGTTAATGAAAATAGAAGTATTTCATATCTCATTTCTGTCCAAATGTTTGTGGAAACGAGCAAACAGATTTAAACATCCAGCCATGTGGGACATTAAAAAGCAGATCGAGGCAAATGGGCTCTCACCAAATTCAATTGCGAAATAAGCTTATGAAAGAAATTACAGTTCCTTGGAATGATCATGAGATGTAAAATTTTCTTTAGGGGACTTGGAAATAGATTTTCATAATTTGCTTGATTGATAGACGCACTCCTGAGCAAATGATTTGCTTCTGTATATTCTCCTGTAGTCTTGCTAGTAAACCTGTCTCTGTCTTACATATTTAAAAGGATTCTGGAAGAAAACTGCTAACAGACATTTTGCTTATACCACTGACAAGCAAGTCTAAAGTTTCCCATATAAGCCTATTTTCCTTCTAAGTTGTCCCAGTAACTTAACATTTGGAAATAATAATAAAAATAAAAGTAAATTACTTTGTATTTCCAGAACACTGTAATTTGGAGGAATGTTATTTCTGTTAAATGTAACTAATAGACTGGAATTTTCCTATGTTTGCATCAGTCTCTATATATTAAGGTTAAAGATACAGTTTTGCAGCTTTTATGAAATGGTCTTTAATATTTCAGCAATAATCCTCTATGACATTTGTTTTAAAAAAAAAAAACTACTTTCTGTACACTTTTAAATTGTACAGGCTTTCAGAAGTCAGTAAAAGTTGGACCAGTTAATAAAAATGCAAAAACTTTTTTTGTAGAGATGTAAAAACAAAACCACTAATCTGTTGTATAATGAATTTCATATTTTCGTTAAATAAAATAAAAGCAAACAGCCTTCTTGTATGACTCAATATACTCCAGCTAACTGTGGAAGCCTGAATGACACTAGTTTACAGAGGTGATAAGAAAGGTTTTAGAAGAGGCAGAAGAGCAAAAATAAATTCAAACTAGAGTTAGATGTTAAAAACGGAGTGTACCAAAACATCACCATAATTCCTTCTTTTGTTTAATGCTTGGGAACATTATTTTTCTGCACACTCAAGTAAAAATAGGAATTGGTTAGGAAGGGTTAATGGTTCAGGCTCTTTGTGCAAGATCCTATTTGTGTTCTTTCAGGCGTTTATGCCTTTATGTTCTGTAATAAGCATTTTGCATTACTATGTTCTTATTTTGTATGGACATGTTCTCCTTATTTATTTTTGTTACATTTATTATGTATGTTATTTTGTTATATGCATTTACAACTCCATTTTTAAATAAAGTGTTTCTGGAACTTTGAAAATGTGTGAATAATTCTCTTTATATAAAATAAATAGACTTTCTGTATTCTAACTTTACAAAATAGGAAATGACATTTTTACACAACTTTTTCAAGAGAAAAGTTGTTTATTATTACTACCTCTGCTTCATTTATTTTGTGCTGATACTGTTGGCACACTTTCCTGTACCCAGCTTCATTTCCTCATTTCAGTTGATTTCTGTGTGCAAAATTTACAGGCAAAAATGAAACATACTGCCAGTTACCACATAGTTACTGTTTTCCCTTTGTGGAATGAAAATAAGTGAGTTTTAATATACCTGCTAGATGAAGCACTAGATGATTTCCAGACTGCTTTACTCTTGCTTCGTACATTGGAAATCATAATCAAATGCTCTGCTTCCATTCTAGCTTGGTGCTTTTTTTTGTCCCAGCTTGGACTTCCTGCAAGACACTAGTTTTCCTACTCTGTAGGAAAGCTGAGTTTAATGCTGAGTCCAAAGGATCATTTCCACCCTGCCTGTTTCTTGCTTCTCTGTGAACACCAGAATCGGCAGAAGTTGCCCGGGCCGCAGGCAGCAGCAGAGAGCAGCAGCGCTGCGTGGCCCGTCACAGCAGCCCCTCTTGAGCTCTGCTCTGACCTGGCAGTGCAGCAAATGGCAACAAGCTGCCAGCTGTGACCTCACTTCTGTGCACCCCGTTTTCCTTTTTATCCCTAATCTGATTGCGTAAGTCTGCACTGGTGGCAGTCTGTCGTGCTCAGTTGCATTCGGCTCTAAAAGGGCAGGAGGGCAAATTAATGGTAATAGATGCCACTTCAGTCAAAGGCATGAGCAAACTAAAAGACCCTTGGAGGTGCTCGGGGTTGTTGTATTCCCGCACTTTGCTGTCAGTGTTTCCTTGCTTGTTGCCAGTATTCCTCTCTCTCTGTAGAGGGACGAGGAATGCACTTTGGGGTTAATACCCTACTGTGCAGAGCCCCATTTGTGTAAGCCATAGTGCGACATTTTGAAATTTCTTTCCACTTATTATTTTTCTCTATCCACCATACTTTGAGCAAAGGTGGTGCAGAGATGGTCTCCAGAAGTGCTTATGAAATGCCCCAGACCGCCACTGTACTCTGCTGCCTGCAGGTAGGGCAAGCAGGGCTGCAGCAGCTGCAGTAGCTGGCACGCAACAGCAGGGAGGACGGGATGTGTGAGCCATTCCTGATCACTGCTCTTTATTGCTCCCTTGCCTGCCCACTTCATGCTTCCAAGGACTGTCACATCTGATTGTAACATGCGGGAACAAAGCAGAGAGCAGGTTTGGGTACCTGGTGACAGTACAGAGGTGTTTTCGCTACAGCGTATGCTTCATGCCCAAAGTAGTTGGTCCTTCGGTCTCAGAAGAGAATGCTTTTTTGTGCCAACGATTAAAAGTCGATCAGATAATGTTTGACGGCCTATGCAATTTTAGCTGGCAATATTTCAAGTACTGAGGCACCTACAGCTGCTGCTTTGACATTCAGCCATGAAAGGCTAAGCGTATGCATGCATCCATAAAGCATTCTGTGAAAGTGGATGTAAAATGACACGAAACCAGTAAGTATCAACAAAAAAGATTATATGCCATCAAATCTCTTCCATCTGGAGCAAATTCTAAGGAAAAAACTGTAACTCTGACGCTTTCAGCACAGAAGTTGCTTTGCTTCATTTTATTGACTAGTCATAATTAACCAAGCACAAGAGTTGTCTCCTTTGGCTGCAAGTGCAGCACATCTGTGAACCTCAGCAGGGTTATGGTCTTGGTAGTTCAGTCACGCTTGCTCAATACTAAACACCTCAGTCAATACTGGTCTTAGCAATATTACCCAAGGACAACTGCATAGCATAAAGAACATTTCAAACCGCACTATCTTGGTAAGTTTTTTAAAAAAAAATCTTTCAACTTGGCACGCCTGACCCAGTGCAAGCCAGGAGAGGAATGTGTAGGGTTTTTTCATTCTCTTCTCACTGTTGATAAATTTCCAGATGAAAAGATGTAGTTAGTAAGCAAGAAGATGCAGCCCTGAAAACAAAACAGGAGCAGATAACTATAAACCTATGCTCAAACACCTTGGTCTTCAGCTGCACATTTTTGGATAAGCTCAAAACAGTGAATGAGGAGTGGGAAAAAAACAAACTCTGCTAACAACTCTGCTCAGTTGCTAATTTGCTGAAGGATGTTAATACTCCTATGTGAAGAAAAAGAGCTCTTAAAATGACTGAGGGAATTACAAAACATCCTGCTTTTGGAAACTACATTGAAACAGGAATTTATAGTTATTGAATATCCTCAAGGGAAACAAGGCATCAAAGGTCTGCTTTCGAGAGTTATTCAAGCACTTCAGCGCTTGGTGGTTGTAGCAAATCATGTCCGTAAAAGGAATTGGGGCCCTTAGTCACTTGAGCAGGTTTTCAATATTGTTTCTGTCACCCATGAAGAAATCAAAGCTAGATACTTCAGTCCGAGGGGTGAACTAGAGGGATAGATATTATTCATTTTAGAGACAAAACCTGCACTTTCCTTTACCACTTTAATGTGTGTCCTTGATATGTTTTGTTGGTCTATTCCATAAATTCCTTAAGGCTAGCATTTTTAGACCAGTTTTAAAAATTAATACACTTTTTTATAATTTATGAGATCTTTTGATGTAAAAGCTCTATCAGGGCCCCAGGGTTCTTTATATTATATTAAAAAATAACAGTTCAATGATTTATCGTTCATGCCAACTGTAGCCTTTCTTATCTGAATAGGCTGAATTAATAACAAGGACTAAAATAAATGTGCATCGTGGAGCTTCTAGGTTCTGCATGTCTATTCATGTGTGTGAAGCTGAACATGAAGGAAACACATTATATATAAACATTTCCAAAGTTAATTCATGACTTTTATTTATAAGAACCTATGAGGTGATGTTATTTTGATATTAAGAAAAATTATTAAGTGAGAAAGTAATACAGAGGTAGAAGTGAGTTGCAGTTTGGGGCATCAGTGATTGGTTTTGTTGTGAGATCAGACGAAGATGATTGAAGATAATTCATGTGTTAAGAAGTTAAATACCTTAGAAAAGTTACTGGGGAAAACACCATGAATGATAACATTAGAGAGAAACCAAGCGCAGAGGAGCAGCATCCCGTGAGTGGCAGGGCTGAAGGCTGAGTCCCAAGACAGCGCAGCGGGAGCCACCGAGCTGCCGCGAGCCCGAGGCAGCCTGAGAGCAGCAAGGAGCGTGGAGAGGTGCCTGCCAGGGAAGGGACGGGGCTCCGCGTGGCTCCTCCCAGTACAGCCTCCTCAGGCCGTGCTCCGCAGCTGGAAACGCCAAGGGGTGATATCCTGCATCAGCGATCCTAGCATTTTTCACTATGCAGAAGAGCTGGAGCTTATCAAAGGACCTGGTAGAAGCAAGACTGACAGCAGAAAGCTCCTTCATTGAGGTAGATTATGAAAAGCCAACCAGCTTGCCTCCTCTTGTCCAATTCATTTTACATCATTTTCCTAAAATCACTTTTGCTCCTCACAAGTGTAATGTGGTCATTGGACTAAGGTGGTGGACACCAGTGTGAGCCTCCTACCGCTCATTTAGGCACTTAAGCACTATCAATGCTTTCCTCCATAGCTCATTCTTTGTTTCCAAACAAGACCAAGACAGTTCCTAACCAAGTTCCTTATGTCCTTACTGCTGTCAGGAGGGTGGGGCAGCTGATGCAGCTGATTTATATAAATAATCAGCAATTTCTTAAATTTGTTTGCTAAATATAGAGTTTACTAAGATGCCTCTTCTCCAGCACCT